ACATCACAGGCAAACAAAAAACCCTAACAGTGAGGTGTGGTGGGACACAGCCTCCAATCCTAGCACTTGGGAGACAGAAGCAGATCACAAGTTCAAGATCATCTTTAGCTACATAGAATTCTAGGCCAGCCTGGGTTATATATGACCCCGATTCAAAGAACCAAAACCAAAACCAAATGAAAAACATTGAAAACGATAAAACCCAGAAAACAAAAAGAAACAAACCCAAACAAAAAAATTAAGAATTTATTTACTATATAGAAAACAAATATGAGGTTGACCTAAAGCTAGCTTTATTGAAATAGCACTGGAGAATGTAAGGCACAAAATCTCAGATGCAGTTACTCTAAAGTCATTAAAAAAATTTTCTTTGGAACAATATATAAAATAAGTTATGACTTTTTAAAAAACTTAAGATCACCTTTAGCATTATGCAAATTTATTTAAGGCAATCGCACACATGTAAAACATTCATATAAAACATTTAAAAATGTCTAAAATATTTTAAAAACATCTCTGGAATTATCAGTTCACATTCTTGGCTCAAGTGGTTTCTGGTGCTTAGCATTAGATAAGTATAGCTAGGTAGTCAAACCTATTGCTTTAAAGGGCAGCCAAGTTGTTCCATTCTGGGTACTTGGTATGGTGAATTTATTAAAAATAACAATGGGAGCCAGGTGTGGTGGAACATGCCTTTAATCCCAGCACTCTGGAGACAGAGTCAGGCAGATCTCTGAGATCAAGGCCAGCTTGGTCTACATAGTGAGTTCCAGGCCAGCTGGGGCTACAGGGAGACTCAAAAACCAGCACTTGGGAGGCAGGTGGATCTTTGTGAGTTCAAGGCCAGCCTGGTCTACATAGTGAATTCCAGGACAGCTGGGGCAAACAAAAAAAAAAAAAAAAAAAAAACAAAAAAAACAAAAAAAACAAAAAAACAACCCAAACCAAACCAAAATAATGGGGTGAAGCTGGGCTACATATGACCCTGATTCAAAGAACCGTAATAATAATGGGGTGAGGTGATATAAATCTGTCTTTCTACATAATGTACAACCAAGCCCATTATTTTTGACAAAGTTTCATATAGCCACATATGGCCTCAAACTTGCTATATATCAAAGACTGACCTTGAACCCCTGAACCCCTGATTCTCTGGTCCTCACCTCCCAAGGGCTGGAATTATAGGCATTGTCCATCACTCCCAGCATCACTCCTAACTAATTCTAGTAAGGCCAAAATCATGTTCACTAGTATCTTGGGTTAACTATAAACCAAAGGGGGTCCATTGGAAGCCTTGAGACATTATCATGCAGCAATGTATAAACAGCAATTGTTCTTCTTTGAAAATGTAGTCTGCAGTAGGTATCCTTTCCACATGTAGACCTTAAGACATTAAAGGCACACGCAGAAAACTAAACCTCTCTAATGTATAGGCCTTCATAGTGATTAAAAAAAAAATCTATTGCCTCATCTTGATAACAAAAAAAGAAGCACACACCTGGTTTGGACATTGACAAGATTGAATCTCTGTCTTTCCTGAGTTTCAAAACTGGTATTTGATAGTAGAGATATGTAAACAATTTATATTCACCAAGAGAAAAATCTATCAGTTCACAAAACATTTTGATTTTTCTAAAATGAATGTTCAACCACTGTCATGTGTGAAGCTTCTTACAGAAAAAACTTAATTTTAGCCTATAATCATCAACTGAAAGTTATTAGTTGTAGCACTATTGAAACCCCAAATAGTCAAAAGTGACAAGCTAACACCCTCCCTGAGTACTTACATTGTCTTTTATAAACCTGATTTTAATAGAGTGAATATCTGTACCTCAGCTTCCTAAGGAAAAAGAGGTTACTGAAAATCCAATTTCTTATCTGGTTTAATAAACTCAGTGGGGACCTTACAGTAGAAAACGTCACTTTGTCACACACATAGATGAAGACTTGCAAAAGGATTAAAGTTCACCAAAAAAAACCACACAAAAACCAAGTATAATTATCCTGATTCACAAGCACACCTTTGAATTGGTTTTACAATTCAGATTATCATAATTTGTTTTAGCAAACTTGTTGCTACCACCAATCTGCTTTCTGTCATTTGAAACTATTGTTATATGATTTGATGGTGTTCAGATCATCATTGCTAACACTTGTACTTTCAGATGTAAAGCACACCCTAGAAAACTCGGCAGTGGCTTACACTTGTGATGCCAGCGCTCAGGAGGCTGAGGCAGAGACGTGCCAAGGGTTTGAGGCCAGCCTAGGCTACAAATGCAGTCTAAAAACAAAGTGCTCTAGAAATGTCCCAATTTCAAATTCTTCTGCAATAGATTTTAAATGACTAACTAATTCTTATTTTATATACTTTTCTGGTCACCGAACTGCAAAAAATCATTGGGTGCTTTGTAATATGTGTATGTATAACCATACTATCTTTCTACATATACATACACACACATCCTAACTCAGAGGCTCATATAAGAATCACTTGGCAAAAGAAAATCTGTCAACTACAGGATGACAGAATAGATATAATCTGACACAAATATGAGTGATGTATCCCTTTTAATCTAATTATACTCTAAAATTCTTTCAGGACTAATACCATCATTTATTAAGACAGCAAAGCAAGATAAAAAGAAGTTAAAATACAATTGGGTAGCTTTAAAAATAATTTTCTAGGACTCAAGGCAAATTCCTGGTGGCTTTTAACATAATTTGCAACTGATATTCTTTTTTTAATCTTTTTGGGACAGGGTCACCCTATAAACCTCAGCTGGCTTAGAACTCACTATGTAGACCAGGCTGGCCTTGAACTCACAGAGATACACTTGCTTCTGCCTCCCAAGTTCTGAGATTAAAGGTATGCGCCACAATGCCCGACCTTCAACTGATCGATTTATGTGGCTTGAAATCATATAGTAAAAATTTTAGTGTGAGATCTATGTTTAAAAAAATTCTGATTTTCAAGGTTTCTTTCCAATTTACTACAATAAACACATGGATAGGAAAGATAAGAGTCACAAGATACAAGTCAACACTTAATACTTTTACAATGGACAAATACTGAAATACAAATTTATCTTGAGAAAGTCTTTTTATGTGAAGTATTTATGGATGGACACAAGTTTACAAATACACCTGAAAATAACAACGATCATTTGTAGAATCCTAATCATTTACAAAACACTTTTTTTTTTTACATGTTATTTACTGTTAAGAATTTCTGAACTAAAGAGATTCCATTTATCTACAAAAGCGTAATGCAGGTATTTGATACAAAATTAAAGTGTGGTACAAGTATCTCAGTTGTGCACATATAACTGTCTCTCAACTAGAATGATAGATTGGTTCTATAGTTATCACAGAATTACAGATGATTTAAAATTTATGACTTAAATATATTTTTAAGGGCTTTCCTCAGAATTTAGATACTAAATATTAAGTTTCTCTATGAAATGTCTATATCATTTTAAGATGAGGGAAAAACTTTGCCAATGTTAGGTTTTTGATGATTACCTTAGTTTTAATACAAATCTAGTGGCACTGTAATTATTGACAATATAGTTACAATGTTGGAGAAAAGATGACTGGGAAGTCAAAACACAGCAAACTACCTGGCACATTCCTACGATGTAGATTTTATCTGTCCACATGTAAAAATCACAGTAATTAGTTATGCTATAGTTCCTGCCATATCCACTTGCATGTCTAAGAAAAAAAAGTTTACATTTCTCTCTGAAAACTGGTAAGCTTTATAAACTGGAGCTGAAAACATAGAGAAAACAATTTTAAAACAAAACAAAACAAAAAACACAGAAATTTGAAAATGTTGATTAACATTTTACACATTGGCTCCGAAATAAAAATTTATCTTAGAAGATTAGAACTACTACAGTTAGGGGGCTAGAGAGATAGCTCAGTGGTTAAGAACACTGACTGTTCTTGCAGAAGACCTGGGTTCGAATCCCAGCACCCACATGGCAGCTAACAACTGTCTGTAACTCCAGGAGAGCTCAGTGGTTAAGAGCACTGGCTGCTCTTTCAGAGGACCCAGGTTCAAATCCCAGAACCCACATGATGGCTAACAACTGACAATGACTCTAGTTCCAGAGGATTCAACAGCCTCTTCTGTCCTCTGCGGGCACTGCACAACACGGGTGCACTTACCTACATGCAGGCAATACATGCATGCACATAAAATAAAAATAATAAATAAAATATTTTTAAAAAAGAACTACTGCAGCTAAAAATGTTTCTCAGGAATTAAAAAAAAAGTCCAGCTGGGTGTGGTGATGCACAGCTTTAATCCCAGCACTTTTCTGAGGCAGAAGCATGCAGATCTCTGTGAGGTCCAGGTCAGCCTGGTCTACATTTTGTGTTCCAGGCCAGCTGGGGATACAGAGAGACCCTGTCACAAAACAAAACAAAACAAAAGCAAAACAAAAACAAAACAAAAAATTGGGATAAGTGAGAGATGATTCATAAATACTTTGAGAACTAGAGTAGGCCACAGTTATTTTAATTTTTCTTAGGGATGAATGCATAGTTTAAATTTCCTTACTTTTCTAAAGACAGGGTCTTACTATGTAACTTGGCTGGCCTAGAACTCTATGTAGAGCAGGCTGGCCTTAAACTCACAGCGATCCACCTGCCTCTACTTTCTCTGAGCACTGGGATCAAAGGTGTACATGACCATGCCTGGCTAAATCTTGCTTTTATGTCTCCTACCTAAGTTCCCTACCAAAAAATGTTTAATATAACACAACAATTTTATAAAGTAAAAAATTTGGTATTTTATGATACTTAAATTGCTGTTACATTTTTATAATTACAGAAAAAAAATCTTCAATAAATTTAAACAGTCCGGATATACAAGGTCAGTGACAGTTGCTGGAATTCGAACTTGAGCCCTCCCAAGAGCGGCTAGTACTCTTAACTGCTGAGCCATCACTCCAGCCCCCAGAATTCTAAGCATTCTTAACACAGGCAATTCAACTTAAATGAAGCTTCGGCCATGCAATTTTCTTTACATTAAATGACAAAACAAATAAACATTCATAGAAGAGACCATTCACAAATTCCTAAGAAGTTTACATATGGGCATTATTTCCTACTCCACATAGGTTTCTTACAAACACAAAGGCACACTCTCATAGCCTACAGCCACCATTGTCTTTTGTTTTTGAGACAGGATCTCACTGTATAGCCCTGGTTGGCCTGAAACTCCCTACAAATAGACCAAGCTGGCCTATGCTGGGATTAAAGGCTGGTGCCACCAAGCCTGGCCAGAACTGCCATAATCTTTAGCAAGCCCCCAACCCCCAAATTATAGGAAAGGCTTTATTACAGCTCAAAATCTTGGTATTTTGGATAGAAAGGCACCAGGATTAATTATTTCTTTTGCACATAACACAAAGGAGATTCATTCTCACTTTATAGTTTTTAAACCCTGTCCTCCTGGGTTGGCGTGGCTTCTTGCATGAGGTATCCTGGTCTTAGAGTTTAAAGCCTTTCTCATTATATCTATGAATAGTCACACAGCCATGATAAGACACTGGTCTGGGCATCGCAGCCACCCCGGTGATGATGCTTGTTGCAGGATCGTAACAGAGAATAGTGTCTGTGGCTTCTCCATTTTCCCGTCTTCCACCCAGGATGTATATCTTACCATTACACACAGACATACCACAGTTTTCCTGTTTAACAAAATACATAAAAAATAATTAACTACTGAGGAGAAAGGATCTGGTAATAAACTGAAAAATACAATGACATGCTTTTAACAGAGTTAAAAAAAATGGGGGTGGGGGACGTAATAGAAGCTAAGCAACTTTTTACCTACTTGCTGTTGTGAGAGTGTTGGATGATTTTGCACAGATGAGGTGGATATTAAAATAGATTACATAAGTAACCTGACGCCGAGATGTGGAAGGTATAGGTTTGGCAGACTGATAAGGTGGTTTTAAATTGCTTGTTGTACATGGCTCAAGAGATTGCTCAGTGGGTAAGAGCACTAACTGCTCTTACAGAGGACCTACAGTGTGGCTGACAACCATCCATAACTCCAGTTCCAGGGGATCCAATGTCTTCTTCTGACCCCCATGGGTACTGCATGGCATGGGTGCACTTACATACATCAGGCAATACACTCATACACATAAAAAATAAAAACAATGAAATTTTAAAAATATTAAAAAAGAAATTGCTTATTGTACCATAGGAAGGCTATTACAGAAAGCAATTACTACATGATCAAAGAGCAGGAATACCAGTCATTTCAGGGAATCTCAAGTTGGAAAATGAAAGAGAAAGAAAGTTATAATCAAATTAACAACATAGAAATTATTAGAGAATTTTTTTTCACACAGGGTCCTTCAGCTGACTTGTAACTCACTATGTAGACCAGGCTGGCCTTTAGCTCACAGAACTCTACCTGCCTCTGTTTGGATTAAAGGTGTGCACCACCATGCCCAGCTTATTAGATCTTTAATCACAATTTAAATGCCTGATGTATTGAAGGAAAAGAACCATTCATCACTGAATTAAAAATACTCCCTACTTTTTACCCGTTTTTAAAAAAATTATATTTATCGTACGTGTGTGTATGTGTGCACATCACTGCACTACAAGCTTGTAGCTTGTAGGAGTGTGTTCTCTTCTACTATGTGGGCAACTGAACTCAAGTTGTCAGGCTTGATGACAAATGCTTTTATCTACCAAACCAACATTTAATATGCTAAGCATTTTATAAAGCAACCACTTATTATGTGTCTAAGTACAAACATGTGCAGTGTACCCGTGTGTGGAGGTCAGAGTACACCTTTTCTCTTTCTACTGTGAGTTCCAGGGATCAAATTCAGGTCATTAGGCTTACAAGGTGAATGCTTTTAAGATTCATTTAAAAATCATTAAAAAATAACCCATCGGTAATGGGGGGTTGGAGAGATGGCTCAGTGGTTAAGAATACTGGTTGTTCTCACAGAAGACCCGGGTTTGAATCCCAGCACCTACACAGCAGCTAACAACTGTCCATAACTCCAGTCCCAGGGGATCTGACAGCCTCTTCTGCGAGGGTATTGCATGACATGGGTGCACTTACCTACATGCAAGCAATACACGCATACATATTAAAAAAAAAACAACCCGTCAGTAATAAATACACAGATACGACTTAGTAGTACAGGTAGTGAGGAGCCAGAAGAGAGACAATAATCTCACAGACTCTAGCACTGTTTGGATTTCAATGATTTACCTTAGTTAGACTTTGTATATATCTCATCCAAATGTTTTCTAGTTGAAATTTCTGGTCAATATTATTTATTGTTAAATTAGAAAGTGTGCCATGTGTCCTGTTGTTGAGTTTTCTTAGTTTTTTTTAAAAATTTTAAATAATTTATTGAGAATTTCATACAGGCATATAAGCATATAAAGGTGTTTTGATCAAATCCATGCCCACTGCCTCCCCTCAAACTCCTCCCATATCTACTAATCACTTTTTTCTGATAACTTCATGTACTTTCTTTTTTTTTTTAAATGGGGCTTTTTGCTACTCTAACATTCCCCCCTTTGAAGAGGTAACTAACCCTAAAATCTTTTAAGGATTAGTTACCTTTGACATTTTTGGCCTTTGGAACAGAGTATGTTGCTAATAGGCCCAAAGACATTTTGACTTTTAGCCAAGAAACTGACTATTTTTCTTTGGGGTCTTTTTACCCCAACTGCCTAGCGAACTCCTACCTTCTATTCTTATCACATCACCCTCTGAAGAGGTTACCCAAATTGCCAATAGGGAATCAGGCCGCAGACCACTCTGGCTTCTTCCATGCTAACAGGGACACACAGGGTGAGGCAACTGGGGTACCCCTTCAGTGGGTCTATCTGAAAGACTCCCAAATTGCATAACTCTTATCTTGAAGAGGAAAAGAAAGTCTTTGAAAGAGAAGTAAAGGCAAGAGTAATTAATTAGCATTACAAGTTCTAGACAGGGAACCAGAAAAAAGTCAGAATAGGGCAAATCCCAAGCCCATGTGACCCCTAACAGATCCTCAAACAACCTTAAGTGTATATATAAATTATTTGGGCCAACTGTATGGTTTTAAACACCCAAAAGGAAAGTATAACCAAAGGGTAAAGTGATCGGTGTATTTCTTTAAGAGTTTCAAGGGATTACACTTCTGAGACATTAGGCTTAAGTTCATATAAAGTTATTTAGACAATTATTTCTCATTGATGATTTTGTTCTGAATCAAAAAGTGCTTCTGCAATACTGTAGTGCCCACCTGTAGCTAAGGGAGACAATCCGTTATTGTTCTAAAATGATGGCCAAATTTATTTTTACTCCTTATCTAGAAGCCTTTGAGAGGGAACTGACACTGATTCTAGCCAGTCCCACAGCTATCAAAGTGCCTGAAAACAAATCCTGAGTCCACCACTACTGAGTCCAGCCTTGGCAGACAAAAGAAAAATGAGAAGGAACCCAACAGAGGGATGCTTTTGGAAGCTCTGGTCAAGAAGTTCCAATGGGCTCTCATATGAACATTTGAAATACTTTTCTTAGTTTCACCTCCATCATACAATACATATGTCACTGTATGCCCCAGATTATCTTCCTAAGGTCTGTTTAGGCCAAGTGACTAGTTACTCTTAGTGGAAACAAATTATTCCTTAAAATATTCACAGTAACAAATCAGTAAGAGCTTAGATTAAAACTTTTTCCTTAAATGAGGTTAAAACTTTTATTTATTCTGTACCTCTGCCCCTTTCATTAGTTTAGGCACTGTTATTCTGAATACATTAGAGACTATGCCTCAGTGTCAACAACTTAAAAAATTAGTGTTATACTCCTAGTCACTATTCTTTGTTTTGTTTTGAGACAGGGTCTCCCTGTAGCCCCAGCTGGCCTGGAACTCACTATGTAGCCCAGGCTGGGATCTCTCACAGAGATCCACTTGCTTCTGCCTCCTAGAGTGCTGCATAGCTATTCACTATTCTTTTTAAAGATTTATTTATTTTATAGGCTGGGTGTGCTGGTGCATGCCTTTAATCCCAGCACTTGGGAGGCAGAGGCTGGTGGAGCTCTGTGAATTCAAGCCCCACCCCCCCAAGATTTAATTCTTAAAAAATTTTTTGATTTTTATTTTATGTATTTGAGTATTTTTAAAAAATATTTCATTTATTATTTTTATTTTATGTGTATGCGTGTATTGCCTGCATGTGGGTAAGTGCACCCGTGTTGTGCTGTGCCCGCGGAGGACAGAAAAGACCGTTGGATCCCCTGGAACTGGAGTTTTGGACAGTTGTTAGCTGCCATGTGGGTGCTGGGATTTGAACCTGGGTCTTCTGCAAGAACAGCCAGTGTTCTTAACCGATGAGCCATCTCTCCAGCCCCAGATTTAATTATTTTACATATATGCTTGAATGTATGTTTGTGCACCATATGTATGCAGGTGGCCAAGGAGGCCAGAAGAGGGCATCAGGTCTCCTGGAATTGGAGTTACAGGTGGTTGTGAGCTATGTGACATGGGTGCTGGGAATCGAACCCGGGTCCTCTGCAAGAGCAGCAGGAGCTCTTAGCTGCTGAGCCATCTCTGCAGCCCCCTATTCACTATTCTTATAGTCTATGCCGTATCTCTTATGTATCTTACATATATGGTTAATGCAAATTTTGGTACATATAAGATTAACTCAAAACTGGATCCCTCATCTACTCTACTTCATTTGTTAACTAATTCAGTAAGTATATACTGAACATGAATAAATAGAAGATACCTAGTTAGAACAAACAGTATTATCCTGAAGAAGGCTGAATTCCAGTAGACAAATTCAGGGCAGGGGCTGAAGAGATGACAGCTCATCAGTTAAGAGCGCTTAAGTCCTACTAATGAATCTCTCAGTTGTCATTAATGAAGCTCCCTCATGCAGCGAAGGGCCAGGAACACAAAAGGTCACAAACGGCCAAAGCATAGAGATCAAGAGTCTGCTGAATGCTGGTCCTTGGACAGGACTCCTTTATTAAACTTCACCCACCCAAGGCTCAGGGAGCATCTCAGAAGATGGGGTGGAAAGACTGTAAGAGCAAGGGAGGAGTTACAGGACCATATGGAAACAGTCCTACACACTCCTTGGAACCTGCTCATATGATTCTGTGAGCATATACAAGTCCCATGCAAACTCAGGCACACAAAAACCCAGCATAGAACTGGGAAAATGAACAGCAGACCCCAATCTTATCTGAAGAAATATTGGCAACTGATTGCTGCTAGGTGAAGAACAGCTGATCTTTCTAAAACAGGGGACTCTAGATAGGCTGACTAGACCTCAGTGGATGGACTTGAACTGGGGAACATCTGGGGACACTGACCTGACACAGTAGTGGGCCTTAACAGGGATAACAGAGTACGTGGGCTCCAGTTGGGGGGCTATGGGAGGGCGTCAGTAGTTACAGGGCTATAAAGATGATTAAGATTGACTGAGATGTTCTGTATGAAATACACAAAAATTCAATAAAAACAAATTAAAAAAAAAAAAAAGAGTGCTTGAGTCCTTCCAGAGGACCCAAGTTCAGTTCCCCCCATGTCCAGTGGCTCACAACCACCTGTAACTCCAGCTCCAGGGGATTTGACAGCCTCTTCTGGTATCCAGGGGCACATACATGTACGTGGCATACACACACACACACACACACACACACACACACACACACACTCACTCTCTCACACAGATGCACATGAATTAAAGTGAAAAAACCATAAGGAGAATCTGTGAGATGACTCAGTGGGTAAAGGTGTTTGCTGCCAATCCTAACAACCTGAGATTTATTCCAGGTACTCAGCATAATGGAATCCTGCAAGTTGTTTTCTGACCTCCACATGTGCTGTGGCATACATTGCAGCATATACTCATACATACAAAATAAATGTTAAAAAGCAAAAGCACAGCCACGTGTGGTGGCGCACACCTTTAATCCTAGCACTTGGGAGACAGAGGCAGGTGGATCTCTGTGAGTTCGAGGCCAGCAAGGTCTACATAGTGAGTTCCAGGCCAGCTGGGACTATAACTACAGGGAGACCCTGTCTCAAAAAGACAAAAAAAAAAAAAAAGTAAAACTAAAGGGAGCCTTGCATGATGGCACACATCTACAATCCCATCCTAATCCTTTGGAGGTAGAGGCAGGAGGACCAAGTTCAAGCTCTAGGTATCTGAGACTATGTCTCACAAAACAAAAACCAGTCATCAACCAAATAAAGCAAATAGACATTTCAAGGAGCACTTAACTGCTATTCTTGAAGTATGAATGCCATAAAAACTAAAGAAAAGAAGGTTAGTTCTCGTCAATGTAACCCGAGTTTGTTGTCCAAAAGATAAGTGGAATTATAAGTACAGAAGGTAATAAAGGTATCACAGCTATGGGGACCACACAAACCAATACAAGAATAGATATAATCTGTACAGAGAATACAAATAACACATACGTAATGTAACTGGAACAAAGTTGTAGAAAATGAAGCTGAAAATACAAAGCAAAGATCAGATTAGAATGATGTAGTAAAATTCTTGGATTTTGTTCAGGGAGAGACATAATTAGATTTATTGGAAACTAATGGTTTAGAAAAGCAAGGATAATTAGAGAAAGGAAGACTAATAGAAACTCTAAGGGCAGAACTGATATGTTAGATTTATTCTATTTAAAAGAAAGTGAGAAAAATCTTATAAAGTTTCTAGGTTGTTCAGACACTGAAAAAATAGGATTAGAGAAGCAGGCAAGGCAAATTCTATTTTAAGTCTGAAATCTTGGAATACAATGGAAAATGTCAAATAGGCAGATGGAAATTGGAGTTTGGAACAACAACACAGGCTCTGATATAAAGACTTTTTAAGTTCTTAGTACTAATAGCAAATTAAATATTCAGGAATGTCTTATGTTGTGATACTAATGTTAACATCATATCTTGGGGACAAGAATTGGAAAGCTTATGGTTTAATAGTGATGTGTTTGGACAAGGGGTCAATTGTGCTGGATAGCTTTAGTGTCAACTTGACACACCTGGGTTGAGGGAGCCTCAACTGGGGAATTGCCTCTATTGGACTGGCTTGTGACCATGTCTGTGGGGTATTTTCTTGATTGTTGAGTGGTGTGGGAGAGCCCAGCCCACTGTGGGTGGTGCCACCCCTGGGCAGGTGGGCCTGTGTTGCATAAGAAAGCAGGCTGAGCAGGGGCCAAGGGAGCAAGCTAGTAAGCAGTGATTTTCCATGGCCTGTGCTCCAGCTCCTGCCTCCAGGTTCCTGCCCTGAGTTCCTACCTTGGGCTCCCCGATGAACTGTGACCTGGGATATGTAAGTAACCCTTTCCTCCCCAAGTTGGTGTTGGTCAGAGTGTTGTCACAGCAATGAAGAGCAAACTAGGACAAGGAACAAATTGGAAGTCAGGCCTAAAGAGGCCTAAGCTGCTATACACATATTTAAAAATTAAGTGGAACAAGTAAACTATGAAAACAACTGAAGAGACTAGTAGTGGCCTTTAAGGATACAACTTTCGGGGCCAGGCATTGTAGTGCATACCTTTAATCCCAGCACTTGGGAGGCAGAGGCAGGTAGATGGATCTCTGTGAGTTTGAGGCCAGCCAGGGCTACATAGTAAGATGCTGTCTCAAAAAAAAAAAAAAAAAGCAAAAAACAAAAAACAAAGAATACATCTTTCCAGAGTTCAAGAGTCAGGTAGAGCTGAGGTGGAGTGATGACAGCAGTTAAGAGCACTTGCTGTTTTTTCAGAGGACAGGAGTTTGGTTTCCAGCACCCACATCAGGTATGACTCCAAAGCCAGGGGATTGCTGTGTTTTCATAGGACAGGAGATTTGTTTCCACCGCACACACCAGGTATGGCTCCACAAACAGGGGAGCTATAGCAACACACACACACACACACACACACACACACACACACACACACACACACATCTTTAAAAACAAAATATCTTGCCAGGCGTGGTGGTGCATGCCTTTAATCCCAGCACTTTGGAGGCACAGGCAGGCGGATCTCTGTGAGTTCAAGGCCAGCCTGGTCTACATAGTGAGTTCCAGGACAGCTGGGGCTACAGGGAGACTCTGTCTCAAAAAAAGACAAAAAAAAAAAAAAACCACCTTTGGCCAGCACTATGGCTTACTGTGTAAAGAAGTGCTTGCCATGCACACATGTTGACCTGAGTTTAAATATAACATCTGGAGAAGAGACAGATTTGTAGCATTTGGGCAGAAGTAAGGAAAACAGAGCCATGAACCCAAAGGTTGAGAGAAGGCCTTTTTGGGGAATGGCAGGAATAAAGGTAATGGGGCTCCAGGTAACATGTGGATGAATGAGGCCTGAACACAATCATATAACAAAATCAACTAATTACCTAACTTCTCATTAGAGAAGCAATCAGTTTGAAAACATCTCTTCTAAAAAATGAAAGAGAAAGGGCAGGACTGGATCAGGATCTGAAAAAGGTGAACACACACACACAGATAGTCTAAATGCAATAGATACTTCATGTTAGACTGATCACTAAAGCTATTCCTTGGGGCAAAGGATATAGCTCCGGGGTAGTGTTCAGGAGGCCCCGAATCCAATCCCCATTACCATAAAAATGATCAAAGATTAAAAGCAATTCCTTGAAAGGAATTTATATGAGGGTTTTTTTTTTTTTTTTGTCTTTTTGAGACAGGGTCTCCTTGTAGCCCCAGCTGTCCTGGAACTCACTATGTAGACCAGGCTGGCCTTGAACTAACAGAGATCCACCTACCTCTGCCTCCAAAGTGCTGGGATTAAAGGTGTGTGCCACCACGCCCAGCTATATGAGGGATTTTTAAAAAATCATGAAATATTCATAAAGTAAAATTTCAGTGTATTAAAAATAATCATATCATTTATTTCCTCTCAAATTTACTTTCAGTTTGGATCTTTATGCTGTTACCTGTCGGCTGAATGTGTTCTGTACATGCATCCAGTAGTCTTCAACTGGATCATAACAATATATTGCCTTGGTCAGCCCACCAGCAACATAGATCAGGTTGTTTAAGGAGACAGCTGTTATACACCTCTTGGCAATTGGGATAGTTGCACGAAGTAGCCAAGAATTGGTTTCTGGATCGTAAGATTGAACCTAACAATACATATAAATATTCAGTAAGACATATAAATGAATATGTAAATTTGCTTAAAAAGTCAGTACATAGAAACATGATTAAATATCAAATCCTATTAATTCAAAGAAGTAAAGGAAGTAGGTCTGATAATAAAATATATGAAAATTTAAAAAATTCTTGCTTCTTGGAGTCAAGGATAAAATTCTCCACCAAAGAAATGCAAATTTATTAGTATCAAGAAGATAGTAACAAAAGACAGATTATTCCCAAGAGGAATGACCACCAGGCTTCCTTTACTTGGATTCACTAACATTAAAAGTTCTCAGAAATTGTTTATTTAGGCTAATCATACCTCAATCTGAATACTTTTTTTAAACTTTTAGGGAGTCCTTACTTTAAAAGAACATCAGCAAACCTCAATTTTGTATACTTAAATTATAATAAATTCTTAATGAAGTATAGAAAAAAATCATTTAAAATTTTCAGGTATTCGCTGGGCGTGGTGGCACACACCTTTAATCCCAGCACTCGGGAGGCAGAGGCAGGCAGATCTCTGTGAG